GGCATGCCGTGTCCTAATATACTTGAATAAAAACATCGCAACTCCCAAGATAGGGACTTTAACTTAAAAAAAAAAAATAAAATAAAATAAAACTATAAAATAAAATAAAAATTATAAAATTAATATATATTTTTTAAAATAATTTTTTATACTATATAAAATTTATAATTTAAAAAATTATTACATGATATATATAAAATAAATTATTAATATTATATAATATATAAATTAAATAAATTTTAATTTAAAAATAATTATAGTTTATAATTTTTTAATTTTAACAAATATATAATATTAACAATTGAACCAATTAGACATATTGTATAAATATTGAGCGAATTGAACATTTGAATAGATAAAAAAACATCTGTTCAATTCAGATTGTAAAAAAATAATTAAACATATAAGCATCGTCATCATCGACTTTTAACAAAGGTTTAAAAAATTTAAATATACGTGTCTAATATATTATGTATATCTGATATACATACGCACGTACGTACAGATTACGTATAAAAAAGTTTTGCTAGAAAAATTTAAGGTTAAGGTTCTTAAAATATAGTAACTACATTATTTAACACCTATAATGTAATAATAAAAATATAAAATAAATTATATAGTATTTGTTTAATAAACAAATTGTAAAAACAATGTTTTGTAAACAAATAATATAAATAATAATTGTCATGTGATCCGTTGAATTGATTTTTAATATATATATATATACATCATTAGTTGAACATGCACATTTATACAGTACGATTGACAGTTAAGTAAAACGCCGAATATTTTTGTAATTACAGTACATAATATAAAATACTTTACTGACATATATCATTATTGTTATATATTACATTTTTATATGCTAAAAGAATTATAATGCTTACATAAAATATATTATACAAATCATTTTTTATGTATATTTAAAGCCAAAGCTATTTTCTAATGTTCCACGTTTTCCTTAAAACCCTCTCCTGTTTGTTTTACGACAAATATTTGCACCACAAAAATAGTTATTCCCAAAAAAAAAAAAAATAAAAAAATAAAAAAATAAAAAAATAAAAAAAATTTTTTGGATATATAGAGCTTGAAATAGCTTTCATGACTCTCTTTGTTGATAGTACTGTTATGCGTGCTTAAACAGTAACGTCAACGACCTCAAAGTTCTTAAAAACTTTAAACAAATTTAATATCGACTGAAACTTTGATTGTTTTTCGTTGACGTTTTGTTTTTTTTTTTTTTGTTTTCAACGTCTGTGAGCGAAACGTCTTCAGGAGTATTTTTTGCTTAAGAAAAAAAAAAATCTCCTTTACCGTCTTTTTTTTACGCAAAACACATTTTCCGAACACCTTTTTTAATTACAAAATCATCCCTCTTGCAACGAATATAAGCAAATCAATTTGTTTACATTAATAAATCATTTCAACCTTAGATACAACAATAATATTCATAATGGATAAAATGGATATCCATTCCCTATTGAATAATAACGAAGAAACTCATCAACTTTACGGACCAACAAGTCCAACTCCAAGTACTTCAAGCGAATGTACAGATTCAGAACAGATCATAGATAACGACCGTCCCTATGAATGCAATTGGTTGTCTTGTGGCAAAGCATTCTCGAGACGCTCGGATCTTGCTCGTCACCGAAGGATTCACACCGGCGAGCGCCCGTACCGCTGTGAATGGGTCGGATGTGGTAAACAATTCATTCAACGTTCCGCATTGACGGTTCATTATCGTACCCATACCGGAGAGCGCCCTCATATATGTGAATATATTAATTGTGGCAAATCTTTTAGCGATGTAAGTTTTTTTTTTTTCAATTATACAATCATATAGAATCATATAGAATCATATAGAATCATATAAAACCATATAGATATCGTATACTTACGTATGATCCACATTCTTTAATTGATCTCTTTAGTCATCTTCTTTGGCTAGACATAGAAGAACACACACCGGAAAAAGACCTTATGTGTGCCCTCACTCAGGTTGCGGGAAAACTTTCACTCGTCGCACCACGCTAACGCGGCATCAGAGACAACACGATCCTCATTGGAAGGAATATAATACGTATGTAGAATTATATTATTTAATGGTTTTTTTTTTGTCCAGACATATCAAACATTTCGCTAACTTATCATATTCTTTTTTGCAATAAAGTGCTTTTGAACCACGTAAACAAAGTTCAACAGATCATTTAGCAATTTCGTTATCGACATGTAACCGTAATTATACTGGACTTCCAAGTCCACCTAGTCCACCTTCACCTACAGACTGCTCTACAGATTGTTTTAAACAAATCGAAATGGTAACAGTCGATCATAATCAATCATATCAACAATCAGGCTATTCAACGATGTTGAATCTTCCAGCAATTAGTTGTCTATATTTGCCACATCCTATTGATTCCACAATGTTAACGTCCACTACACGCATGACTGCCTTTAAGCCGGTAGTGAAAGAAGTAAATGACCCTTATAAATATGGGTATCCATCTCCCGTGGAAGCACCTAATGATGTTTACTATACCGCCACAATGCCTACTCGTATGGCATGATCTTAACGAAAAGATAACGCAAAAAAAAACAAAAACAAAACAAAAACAAAGAAATATCGTGATGATTATATTGCAGGCCAATATAAAAAAAAAATATCGGATAATATTTCTTTTTAAACGTTTAATATATTTTTTAATTCATTATTTTTATAGAAAGGCCAGGTCGGAAAAGGGATCTTTAATTTTACCTCCCGAATACATAAGCAAAAAAAAAAATTTCATTTCATTTAAGACTTTATCCCTTTCATATTACGCCAAGTAAATTATATACAACTACCTCCAACTGTAAGATAAATACATTCAAAATCCAAACTCACGTATAACATAAATCAAAAAAAAAAAAAAACAAAAGAGAACACTCATATGAACAACATCCCCTTATCTTTAATATTTCATGCAATAACATTTTTTTCATCGATTATACATTTCATACGTTCATGAAGAGGGGTTTTTTTTCGATTTTTCAATTCGAGACAACCAATAATCTTGGTCGAATCACGATTACTTTCGTATAATTTAATTACCCCACAAAATAATTAGGATCTTCCGGAACTCGAGGGTAAATCTTTTAACGTCAATTCGCGTTTTATGTACGATAGATATTTTTCAATTTCGATTTATATAATCTATCATTATACCCTCAAAGTCCTTTACAAATATCATATCACCATAAATTTCAATATATCACCGATTTTAGAAAATTAATCACGATTTACGAAAAAAAAAACATTCGCTCGCACTATAGATTTATTGGTTGTAATTCAAAAAAAAAACCATACACATATAGACATCTCCTCTTCCCATATAGAAAAGGTTCTAGAACTATACAAAAGTATTACTTAATATATATAGGTCTATACAAAAAAAAATGATAATTTTTTTAAAAAAAAAACATGACAAAAAAATAGGTTTTCGATAAATTTTAAATGAATTGGCAAATAAAAATTGGTTGAATGGCACCTAATAGAAATCAATTTTTTTGGTTCTTTTTCTTTATTTTTTTTCTATTGGCATGAATATAATGAAATTTACAGATAACGATAAATATGTAATCTCGACAAAGGATATTTGATTTTCATATCTAAATTCCAAAAAAAAAAAATGCTGCCACCAAAATATGATCAAATGATTTGTCAAAAGAGATTACATCCGCTTTTGGTAGAGCTTCGGTTTTATATTGCCTTTTGCGGATTAGACTTAATTAGATGTTGCTTAATTTGATAGAATACAATACACACTCCATTTCGAACTATTCCCCGAAATAAATATAATATCATCTCATTCTTTGACTAAATCGGGATGATTTTAAGAAGATTTTATATTTTTTTGGTTTATAGTTGATTGTATATTATACAACTTATTAGATTATTTTAAAGGTTAGTCTATCAAAAAGAATTTATAATATAATCAAATTTATTGTAAAAAAATTTTTTTTAAATATATACAGAATCATACAGTTACTATATACAATAATTTATATTTCGCCCAGACGATATTGATGTAATCACGTGTGCGGTGCGATGTGATTGATGGGAGCAAAAAAAATTTTTTTAGGTTCTCAAGAATATTTTTAATATCTTCAAAATTTCATTTCACAAATTTTATGTTTTCGAATGAGAATATAATATTTAATGTCCTTGAAAACACACTGCACAAGTGGGAAATGTAGAAAATTGTAGAATAGCAAAACGACAATATATTCGTACGTGACGAAATTTTTACCTGTTATTTTTCAATAATGAGATAACAATGACTGCTGTTTTTTGAACTCTTAAAATTGCAACAAAAACATTTCAATTCTTCTGTAAACACAACTGAAGTTGAGACAGATTTTGAATAAAATTAAGATTTTAAAATTGTCATTAACTCGATTAAATTTATGTATATATCATCATTTTTTTAAATGGATTCGACAGTTATTTCACCGACTTTTAATTCTTTAATCCTAACCAACGATAACTCTAAATTGGGCTGAGCCGACCTTAAGTGTCGGAAAAATGGTTCCACTCATACTTTTGGATAGCTTTTTAAGCTAAAGAAAAAAAGAAATTGATGGAACATCTCGGGACAATCAAAATATACATCACTGCTTGAAAGTGCTTCTAATATACAATCCGCAAGAGTTTCTAACACTATTGTGACTTTGACTTATTTTTATTATTTATTTATTTATTTTTGACAAAGAATAACTTTGGACCCACTGGTCCGTTTTAGATGACCTTCCTATCAAAATATCGCCTCGCTAAGATGTCATTTTGATGATAAAATCATCGAAAGCGACCAGTAAGCCAAAAGTTATCTTTGTCAAAAACTTTCAAAATTTTAACAATCATTACGCAGATCTGCCCATATGTTTTATTAAACTGTTGCTGAATTAGGACTTTGTTTTATAAGTATATACTATTTATTCACCATTTTATTAATTGAGACTTTACGGACACACATATTTTTGGATTAACTTAATTTTAAAATCAATAGGAAGTAACTCCGGACATAAATTACAATTATAAAACAGGAGATAGAAATGTAAACCAAATCTAAATGAGACAGTTTGGGTTTTATCCAATTTGAGTTTGATAGTTAACATTTATTCAGGTTACAAACCCCAAACCTGTGTGTTAATTCCTTTTTACATGTTCTAAACTTCAACGACCCAATCAATCCTATAAATGCAAGTGATGATGCGGTTCCTTGATTTGATTTAGGTATGACATATGTATGTACGTACATTATGATTCGAGTTCTAACTGATGCATAAGTTTAGGTTACAACACAGTCACGACACAAATGTTGAATCTAACAAAGTCTTTAGGAATCTACTATTTCTGGATTAACTAAATATAGTTTTACTGGACGGATAAGATTAAACCAAATTTTAATTTTACGATAATTCGCATTTATAACGACGAAAATATACCATTTTTTATTCAACCAGCAAGGGGCTCAAGGGCTTTTAAGATGTAGTTATTAATGTAGTTATTATTATTCTGACTCATTTACGGATCTCAATACTCTGCTTTCTCCCAATACATTACCATACGTAATTATTATGAAGTCTTTCAATTCACATTTGTTTATTTATGCTATTAATTATCGTCTTAAGAAATTTTTATAGCTTCAATGATCATTCGACAATTCGATCATAAGCATTTTGGCCCGGAATTTCTGAAATATCACTTTTAATCCGCCTCAAATTACCGGAAGAATATTCCTTCTATGAATATGAGGGGAATAAACATGTTATTCTCCCATTTTATTAATGACGACCGGGGGCTACATACTTCCTATTGATTTCAAAATGAAGTTAAACCCAATGCATGTGCATAACCACAATTAGTAAAAAAGGAACAATTTTTATATAGAATATGAATTTCCTTGTTAATGTGATAATGATTGCACCCTTTTTATATACGAGCGTACGTACAACCAATGCTTAGAACACCTGATCCGAAATTGTCAAAAAAACTTTGGATATATGATAATTAGCAAATTGTTCGACGTAATTAAAATCCAAAAACGAAATATCATTTTCTTATTTCTCAAAAATTTATTAAGAAACCACTTTACATGTTCTAGTAAGTTTCCTTGTATAATTTTTGATATATCGGTATAGTCTGTTATTATGTAACTGATATTAACTACAATCACCAATCCTGATGCTAATTCCAACAAATCATATAGAGCTGCATTATTCTTAAGTACTATCTACAGAATTTTCTGCGATTTTAACTGTTTAACCCGGTTGCAGAATGGAATATTCCAATGGGAACTACTGGGACTGGAAGATCACTGAAACAAGTGGATGGAATCTACTTCCAGTGGCCGATTGTAACTAGAAGATTCTATTGAGGATTTTTCATTCACTGGAAGAGTGTTTCTAATGATATTCAGCGGCTTTCAGTAATAAATCTAACCAGCTATTATAAGCTTGCACAAAGATGATAGGAGAATTTACAATATTTGAAATTTTTGACCACTAATAAAACAATAATGATTTTTTGACTGAAATAATCATCCCCGAGTGAGGGTGCATTATTATCATAAATTTATATGTTTAATAAGATAAGTCAAAGGTTGGGGTTTCATGCAAGTCTAATTACAAACATAGTGCAGGTAGTATAGTGATGATCATTGATCAATTTTTTTATAATTAGCAGCAGCAAAAACATATAAAATTTAAATTGCAATAACTCTTGAACAAGTCAACCTACACAAATAAAATTATATTTGTCGGTTTATTTTAGTGCGCTCTTTAAAGTAACAACATCTTTGTTTTATTTATTTATATTGCCTAGAGCCTACAAAATGGTCGGTTTTGATTTTTTTTTTTTGAAGAGTACAACTAGCTATATGTATACCTTTTAATAAAAATATCAAAATCGTAACTTTAAAATTTTTGTCTATCGTATTGTATTATGAAATGGTGATCGACAAAAAAATTCAAAGGAAATACATCAAAAACGACCATTTAGCATGGAAATTGAGTCATCCGTTAGGCTCTAAAAATATAAATAAACAAAAAACAAGACGTTATTTTAAAGAGCACGCTAAAATAAATCATACAAATATAATTTTATTTGTGTAGGTTGGCTTGTTCAAGAGTGCTGGTAATTTAAATTTTATGTTTTTACTATTTACGCTACTACTAATAAAAAATTTTGATTCATGACTATACCACCTGCACTATGTTTGTAGACTTGCATGAAACATACCAGTCAAAGGTGGGGAAGATGCAGTATCTAAAATTCGAATGTGCAGATTCAATCAAATTGTCTAATTTCACAAATCAGGCAATTTGATTAGATCCACATATTCAAATTTTTGACACTGGGAAGATGGGTTAACATGTGGAAAAAATGGGTTAGGCGCTAGGGTGGTAAGTTACCGCAGTAAATTACGATAAATTACTGATGGTAGGTTATCCAATACTCATTTGAAAGGCAATTAACGGACATGAAGCACGGAGACTTTCGGAATAAAGCATAGATTACCACATAACT